CAGAGGAGCCAGTTCGTCCTTGAAGACTGAGTGAAGCCCATCTTGTGTGTGTGTGAGTGGAGGAGGGCGGGTCTCAGATGTCAGGATGAGTGGGTTAGACTGGAGGCAGTGGGTAGTGTGAACAGCATTCGAGAAGTTAGTGGTTTCTCTAAGACAGCTGTTGCAGGAGAAAGATAAGGATGGAGATAAGGATGGTGATGAGGATGGTGATGAGGGTAATGGTGAGGGTGAAGATGATGGTGATGATGATGGTGGTGCTGGTGCTGGTGCTGAGGGTGATGGTGGGAGGATGGTGATGATGGCGGTGGTGGTGGTGGTGGTGGTGATGGTGATGAGGATGATGGTGGGGGGAAGGTGAGGATATTGGTGATGGCGATGAGGATGATGATGGGAGGATGGTGATGATGGTGGTGATTGCGGTGATAGTGATGATGGTGTGAGGATGGTGAGGATGTTGGTGATTGTGATGAGGATGATGGTGTGAGGATGGTGATGTTGGTGGTGATGGTGATGATGGTGGTGATAGTGATGATAGTGATGAGGATGATGGTGTGAGGATGGTGATGATGGTGGTGATGTTGGTGTTGATGGTGGTGATGGTGATGAGGATGATGTTGGGAAGTTGGGGATGATGGTAGTGATGGTGCTGATAGTAATGATAGTGATGAGGGGCCACGAAAGCACAGACAAGGATGGAATTTAGGATGAGGAAGGTTGTGATGACTGAACATTTCTTGGTCTTGTGGCACCGCCACTCAGCCACCAGGTTCCTGGTTTGGTTGTTGAGGAAGATGCTGATGAAGAAGAACACCAAGGCGGGCCCTCCGATGGTCATCAGCCCGTACTGGAAGTTCAACCCTGGTGTGCACGGACAGTGGAAGGCAAACAAGAAGAGCTCCTGGCCACTCGTAGTGACCAGGGCCACTAGCCCATTTAAGCTCACCCAATCATTATTCTTGAACAAGAATGACAGGAAGCGGACGCTGGGGTTAGCCATGGTGTCCGGGCATGGCTGCACTAGGAGGTGCAGGCTGGCGGGCGCCTGGCAGCAGGGCTGGGCTGGGCTCTCCTGTTCTCGGTGGTGGCTGCTGGGAACCTCCTGTAGGAAGACAGGAGGCAGAAGCATGTCTACTCACTGGCTGTCAGGCCCACAATTTGACTCCGGGCGCCATCTTAGCGCATCAACAGCCCTGGCCCAGAGACAAAGCAGCAAGTCCAAGAAGGAACCACAGTGCCAGAGATCTCTCCGGGCTCCATACCGAGCCAATTTTACCAGGACACCCCAGACGGAGCTTGTGTGCTCTCCCCGCCTATTCCAGATGGAAACACGGTGACCAAAAGCTTCCACAAGGAAGGCCCAGCTGTGCGGGTTCCAGGACTATGCCAGGCCGCATAGTGGCAGAGGAACCAGGCTATCTCCCCCCGGGTCCCCACCTGCCCAAGAGACTGGCAGTCATAGTCACAATTTACCTCCAGGTGCCATCTTAGCACAACAAGGGCCCTGGCCCAGAAAGGCCCCACTGAATCCCAAAATGGATGAGTGCCCTACAGAGATGTCTTTGGAACGCAACCATTTCCAGTCTAGAAATTTCCATTTACAATTGTGCCCATACCAGCTCTCATGATATTCAAAATGAGCAATGGAAAATAAATTATCTACCTTCTGCCCCTGACAGACAGGCTTGAATGGTGGTGGGAAATTTTGAGCAAAACATAATGCCCAAAGTTAGAGAGAATGTATTGGGGAAATTGTCTGCCATAGAGGCAGGGTGAGGACTGGGATGTGGGTGATGAGAAATGTGCTCTGGTGGAGGAATGGGTGTTCCTTCACCGTATGGCTAGTCCCAAGTGTGAAAGCTTTGTAACTCTATCTCACAGTGATATAATTTAAAAAAAAAAAAAGGTAATGTGTAGTTTATGCCCAATTCAATCAGCTTAATCAGTGACTACAAAAATAGCAGTATTCCCACATTATTTAAAAAAAAATGAATGTCTGTTCTGAACCCGAATCCCAGGGCAGCTCTGAGTGTCAGCCAGAAGGGGCCATTCTCTCCATTGCAAAGAGCAGGAGATACCCCAGGAAGAACTGGAGCATGGAGTGGGGGATTTGGCTTCGAGGTAGAGCTCAGGCCACTACCCTTTGAAGACATGGTTTCACCCTCCACCCTTGCAAACTGCAAATATGGAGGTTCCCTTGCAGTCCTTTTGAGCACGATCTAAGGAGGCTTGGGTGGTGGTTGAAGTGAATTTTCCATCTCTGCTGACCTTATTCTTTGCTCACCCGGAGGCCCTAGGGAACCTTCTATCCCCTGTCTCCCCATCATTCTCCTCATCTCTGTGAGGAAAAAACAAAGTCCTCTGGTTGTGGGGTGGGGGAGCAGACAGGTAGGATATCACCCACAGTTGCCCCAAGGGGTCCCTCTCTATACCTGCGCCCTGTCTGCTTACTGCCAAGACTTCCAGACCGGCCTGGGCTGAACTTCCTGTCGGGGAGAGATCTGACCCCTCATCCTGATGGGACGTGGGTGGATCTGTTTCCCAGAAAAGGGAGTTTGTGGGGATGTCAGAGCTGGAGCCCGCCAGGCCCCTACCTCCGCCACAGTCCTTCTTGGCTTTAAGACTCCCGTGAGCACAGACTCTGGGTGCAAAGTGCCCAAGTATGGTTCCAGAGGCCACTGGTGGGGGTAACTGCGGAGGAACCAGGTCCTCTTCTGAGACCACACACCAGGCCAGTGAGGGGCACCTCCAGATTTCTAAAAAAAAAAACCCGGGGGGGGGGGAACGTGGACCGGCCCATCTGCTCTGAGACAAGTCATACACCCCAGGACTGGCGCCGTGCTTACCAAGAGCTCCCAGTCAGGACAGGTGGCCCGGGGTATGGAGACCTGCGGTGGTGTCCTCGCCTTCCTACTTTGCTTCTGTGCTGAATCTTGGTGACTTCAGAAAGTTTTGTTCCAGAAAAGAGGAGGGTCAACCGACCAATGACATGCATGGCAGCCCCGAGTTGGGAAATTGGCAGGGGGGAGGATGGGGAGCAGGGGTGTGGGAGGGACGGAGGGGGGATTCTGCGGTTTACATTGTAAGGTCTCAGCAGGTCAGGGCCATGCCCAGTCACCTGTGGGACGCTCACCCCACCATGCAGAGCTGCCGCAGCTGGGAGGGAGGAAGATGGCAGGAAGATGGCAAAACTTTCTGCCTCTCCCTGTGCTGCCCTGGCTGTTTCATCTTCCTAGGAGGTCGCACCCCAGTTCCAGCTAACTCTGGTATTGTTTCACACCTCAGGTGGAGGGGCCCGAGAGATAATACTGCAGGTGGGCACTTGTCTGGCATAGGCACAACCAGGCGTTCAAGCCCTGGCATCATAATTAGTCCCCTGAGCCTCACCAGGAGTCAGTTCTGAGCACAGAGACAGGAGTAAGCCCTTAGCATGCTGGGTCTGATCAGGGTCTCAAAACTGGGGTGGGGGGGACAACAAAATCTTAGTTGGAGGGAAAACAAACAAAAAGCAGCACCTAAGGGTCTGGGAGACATGTGTTTGCAGGGTGAGGTGAGGGGCAGGTTTTGTAGGAGTCCTGGGGTGCGGTCCTCAGCACAGCTCGCTTTGTATGGTCCCACAGGCATCTCCGAGAGCCATCCCTGAGCACCAAACTGGAAGCAAACCCTGAGCACAACTGGTGCGGCCGTGTCTCCCAAACTAACCAAACCAATAGTAGAACTCAAATCTCAGGACTACTGGGTGGGAACTCCAGAATTTGGAACCCTGAGCTCTGAGGGCGTTAGTGAAAGAATTTGGAGCAGGATGGTTTTTTTCCACCCCCATACTCAGCTGACTCCATGCCTTCTATTTGGATCAGAGATGACCCCTGGCATATGTGGTCCAGGGTATCAAACCTACGTGAGCCACATGCTAAGGCAAGAGCCCTACCCTCTGTACTATCTCTCCAGCCAGTGTTTACTTTATTTATTTATTTTACAGAGATGTATGTACATTCATCGACCCTCCTGGAGAGTCCAGCAAGCTACTGAGTGTATTCTGCCCGCACAGCAGAGCCTGGAAGCTCCCCATGGCATACTCAATATGCCAAAAGAAAGAACAATAACGGGTCTCATTCCCCTGACCCTGAAAGAGCCTCCAATATGGCACCGTTGGGAAGGACAAGTAAAAAGAGGCTGCTAAAATCCCAGGGCTGGGATGAATGGAGATGTTGCTGGTGCCTGTTTGAACAAATGGATTAATAACGGGATGACAGTGATACGGTGATTATTTTCTTACAAATTTTATATATTTTATTTTCATAAAGTAGTTCACAATATTTCATTGCAGGCAATATTCAAACACCAATCCCACCACCAAGAACCCTCCTAACAAATGAGGAAAGTGTGTGAAGGTTGTTCTCTTTCATTCTGGAGCCTTTTAAGGCCGATTATAAGAGAATACAAGTAAGTGTGTTCAAACCAAACAAATGTGTCTACTTTTGGTATGTTAGTGGGCTAGAGTATTAGAGGTCAAGCAGCTGCATTAGGAAATTCTCAGACTCTCTCTACCAGGAACTTTAGTTTGTAGGCTCTGGATCTTGGCCATTGATGAGATTACATGTTGTCAGGGGCAGTTTGTGGGTGTGACTGCCAAGCTACTGGAAAACTGGGGAGCTGGGGGGAGGAGGCCCAGGATTGATCCAAGTGAGCTTGGCGATCTCAGCCACAGGTCCCGCATACCTAGGTTTTCCTGCCGGTTCCCACTTGGGTGAGGCTCATTCGAGTGTGTGGAGAGTGGCCTTGAGCATGGTGGCAGTTGGGTTCTGGAAGTTTTCTGCTGCCGGGGTTCTATTTGGGGCTGTGCTCAGGAGTCACTCCCGGGTGGTGCTCGGGAAAACTTGCTACTGGCGTTTTGCATCCAGCACTCCTGCCTGTGAAGCCAGCGTTTCTTCAAGTCCACAGGCCTGTCCTTCAGGGGCAGATGGGTCTGCTGCCTTCTCCTCTGCACCCCTTACCTCTGAACCTCATTCTTCCCCCAGAGCCAGCGGTGCAGGTGGAAGGATTGGGCTGCTGGGGTCGGGGGTCTGGCTGGCAGTAAGATGGGGCTCTGGGTGGTGGAGCAGGGGCGCCATCTCCATGTTGATGACCCTGGCCTTGCCACTTGGACTCTGGGCCCACTCATGCAGGCGGCTGTAGAGGGGGATACCCAGCTTCTTCTGGAACAGGTAACTGCCAGTGATGTTGTCCCACTGTAGCTTCAGGTGGGTGCCTTTTTCGGGGAACTTGGCCAACAGTGCCTTGTCCCTCTGGCTGAGCGCCACGAACCCGAAGAAGCGCTTCACGTTGTTGGCTGCCATCACGAGTGAGTGCACCTCAGCCGTGCGCTGGAAGAGCCGCTCCTCATTGGCGAGGTAGCTTGTCAAGTAGTCCTCCTGGCGGTAGCCAAATTTTGAGCCACAGGACTGGAAGAACTTGATGACCAACAGCAGGATGGCCATCGAGAAGATGAGCAGCCACCCTAAGTGCTGAGACACAGACGGCCGATCAGAGAAAGGGGCAGCTGAGGGGGTCCAGAGCGGCTGGGGTGAGGCTGACCCTCATCACCCAAGCCAGCTGGCTCTGCATCTGCAAATTCTGCATCCGAAGGAGAAACCAGCGTTCCCAAGCGGCACTTGCTCTGTGCTTTAATTTGGCAGATTCCTGCTTCCTTCCCCTCCTCCCCAGGGCCTCCCTATTCCCCACATCTCAGTCCACCAAGTCTGGCTCAGACTGCCAGGATCAGCCTCATGCCACCTCCCAGGGACCCTCTGGGAGCACCCCCATGCTGCTTTCTCCTCACCCTCTACCTTGCTGGAAAATTGCCTCATGCTTGTCTCAAATGCTCCCTGGGGTGGGTATCGCTCCTTTTTTGGCCCTGTGCAGCTCTGACCAATGGCATCCCATTCCCATGTCTCCATACCCATCTCCTGGACTGCTCACACCCTCCCCTCTATTGTAGATTCATGTGTGTGTGTGTGTGTGTGTGTGTGTATGTGTTTTTGTGTGTGTGTGTTGAGACCAATGGTCACTGGTGATACTTCAGCCAACCTGGCTCACAGTTTAACCTTAGGGCCTGAGGCATGTGGTGCTGCCCGAACCCTGTGGGGCTGGAGGTGAACAGGCTTCCCTGGTGATGCGGGGACCCCATCCAGGGATGCTCAGGGAGCCTCCAGACCTGTAACTGGCAGTTCTCAGGGACTGTGTGGTGCCAGATTGAACCCTATGGGCTAGGTGCATGCCAGGCTTGCGCCTTAGCCCAGTAGTGTCCCCAGCCCCAACTGTTGTTTGCCATGTCCCGAGACTAGGTCAGTGCCTCCTTGCCCCTTCCCGGCCTCCTCTCTGCCCCTTCAGCCATCACCAGGCTGCTTCCTTCACTCTTCCCTGATCCCTCTGCCCCCTCGGAGTGAAGCCAAGGCTGAAGGTAGGAGGGAGCAGGCGATGGATGTCTCAGAAGCAACAGGATCAAGATGGGATCTAAAGCAGTGGATTTTGCCACAGAGCTGTGCGGGTGGGCAGGTGGAGAGAGTTGGAAGCCTCGGTTCTTATTTCCCAGGTTCTTACTGTCTGACCAGGGCCCAGGTGCCAAAATGAGTGAGCGGGTGTGAGAGGCTGGAGACTGCTGCTGCAACGCTGCACCATCACCGGCCCTACAGCAGCCCAAGGCACAGGGCAGGGCCCCCTGAGACCCAGCTGGCACAGGTTGGTGGTCCAGGAGAGAGAGGCGTCAACAGGGACTGAAGGCTGTGGTGAGCTGCAAGAAGACTCCCCGAAACTCTGCCCTTGACAAGATCCTAACAACAGACTCATTTTGTTTTGTTTTGTTTTCTCTTTTTGCTTTTTGGATCACATCCGTGGTGCTCTGGGTACCATATGGGATGCCGGGGATCAAATTAAGGCTGCCATGTGCAAGGCAAACAACCTCACTGTTGTACAATCGCTCTGGCCCCTTGCAACAGACTCTTATCAGCATGGAAAACCTCAAGTCGGGGCAGTCTGTGGGAACTTTGCGAGATCAAGTAGGGACCTCCCAGTCCAGGCCTGCTGCATCCCAGCTGGAATGTGTGATTCCTTTCTTTGACCTTGGGGCATCCTCAGCTCTCTCCCCTCTACACCTGTTCCCCTTGAACGCTGGACTGTTTCTCTCCCTCTTCCTGTCTCCCCCTTCCCTAACTAAAATGAATGCTCATTAAGTTTTAAGCATTTGTGAGTTCTGTTGGGTTTGGCCAAAACCCAAATCATCAAAATTCTTATCTGGAGGAGTCGGGAAAATGACCTAGCGATAGAGCACTTTCCTTGCATGTGTGAGTACCGGTTCCACCCCCAGCACTGCCAAAATGAACACAACTCTCCTATTTGAAACTGGAAATGATTCTTATCACACCAAGAATCTTGCCTCATGTCTGTCACTGATTACGGGACCCAGGTTTGGAGTTTTCCTGAGGATCATTTCCCGCCTGGGCACTGAGCTCCCCCAACCCTCTCCCACCCGTCCACACACATACCTCGCAGGGAAAGGGATGAGAATCAATCAGCAGAGCCTTACCTGAGACTCATACTTGAGCCTGCGGTTCACCTCCTCCTGGAAGTCAGACAGGTTGGCCGGGCCCTCCCTGCAAGGGAAACTGGCCAGGACCCACGTGGCATCGGAGAGAGGAAAGCTCTCGTCCCCGGCCGTGAGCGAGGACGGGTCCACGAACTCGCTGAATGCACAGACATAGGCCTCCCCGCGCATCAGGGAGATGACCAACCAGGTGACTGGGGCCACGAGAGCACGGACTAGGATGGACTTTAGGAGGAGGAAGGTTGTGATGATTGAGCATTTCTTTGTCTTGTGGCACCGCCACTCGGCCACCAGGTTCCTAGTTTGTTTGTTGAGGAAGATGCTGATGAAGAAGAACACCAAGGCGGGCCCCCCAATGGTTATCCGTCCATATTGGTAGTTCGAGCCTGGTGTGCACGGACAGTGGAAGGCAAACAAGGAGAAGAGCTCCTGGCCACTTGTAGTTACCAGGGCCACTAGCCCATTTAAGCTCACCAAATCATTACTCTTGAACAAGAATGACAGGAAGCGGACGCTGGGGTTAGCCATGGTGTCAGGGCAAGGGCTGCACTAGGAGGTGCAGGCTGGTGGGCGCCTGGCAGCAGGGCTGGGCTGGGCTCTCCTCTTCTCGGTGGTGGCTGCTGGGCACCTCCTATAGGAAAGCAGAAGGCATGTCTGCCTATAGGAGGCAGAAGCATGTCTACTCACTGGCTGTCAGGCCCACAATTTGCCTCCGGGCGCCATCTTAGCGCGTCAACAGCCCTGGCCCAAAGACACAGCAGCAAGTCCCAGAAGGAACCACAGTGCCGAGATCTCTCCGGGCCCCATACAGAGTCAATTTCACCGGGACACCCCGGACGGAGCTTGTGTGCTCTCCCCGCCTATTCCAGATGGAATCCCGGTGACCAAAAACTTCCACAAGCAAGGCCCAGCTGTGCGGGTTCCAGGACTATGCCAGGCCGCATAGTGGCAGAGGACCCAGGCTGTCCCCCCCTAGTTCCCACCTGCCCAAGAGACTGGCAGTCATGCTCACAATTTACCTCCAGGTGCCATCTTAACGCACCAAGGGCCCTGGCCCAGAAAGGCCCCATTGAATCCCAAAATGGATGAGTGCCCTACAGAGATGTCTTTGGAACCCAACCGTTTCCAATCTAGAAATTTCCATTTACAATTGCGGCCATGCCAGCTCTCATGATATTCAAAATGAGCAATGGAAAATAAATTATCTAGCTTCTGCCCCTGGCAGATAGGTTTGAATGTTGGTGGGAAATTTGGAGCAAAACATAACGCCCAAAATTAGAGAGAAAGTATTGGGGAAATTGTCTGCCATAGAGGCAGGGTGAGGACTGGGATGTGGGTGATGGAAAATGTGCACTGGTGGAGGAACGGGTGTTCCGTCACCGTATGGCTGAGTCCCAAGTGTGAAAGCTTTGTAACTCTATCTCACGGTGATACAAAAAAAAAAGTAATTTGTAGTTTATGCCCAAACCAATCAGCTTAATCAATGACTGCAAAATAACAGTACTCCCACATTATTTAAAAAAACTGAATGTCTGTTCTGAACCCGAATCCCAGGGGCAGCTCTGAGGGTTGGCCAGAAGGGGCCATTTTCTCCATTGCAAAGAGCAGGAGATACCCTCAGGAAGATCTGGAGCATGGAGTGGGGGATATGGCTTCGAGGTAGAGCTCAGGCCTCTTCCCTGTGAAGACCTGGGTTCACCCTCCTCCCCTGCAAACTGCAAATATTCAGATGCACTGGCATGCCTTTTGAGCACAATCTAAGGAGGCTTGGGTGGTGGGTGAAGTGAATTTTCCGTCTCTGCTGACCTTATTCTTTGCTCACCCGTAGGCCCTAGGGAACCTCCTATTCCCTGTCTCCCCATCATTCTCTCCATCTTTGTAAGGTAAAAACAAAGTCATCAGGTTGTGTGGTGGAGAGCAGACAGGTAGGGTATCACCCAGAGTTGCCCCAAGGGGGTCTCTCTTTATACATGCGCCCCGTCTGCTTACTGCCAAGACATCCAGACAGGCCAGGGCTGAACTTGCTGTCGGGGAGAGATCTGATCCCTTATCCTGATGGAACGTGGGTGGGTCTGTTTTCCAGAAAAGGGAGTTTGTGGGGATGCCAGAGCTGGAGCCCGCCAGACCCTTCCCTCTGCCTCAGCCCTTCTTGGCTTTAAGGCTCCCAGGAGCACAGACTCTGGGTGCAAAGTGCCAAGTATGGTTCCAGAGGCCACTGGTGGGGGTAACTGAGGAGGATCAGGTCCTCTTCTGAGACCACCTCCCAGGACAGCAAGGGGCACCTCCAGATTTCTCCAAAAAAACCAGGAGGGGTGGAAGGGAGGACCAACCCGACTGCTCTAGGTCAAGTGGTGACTTGCTTACCGAGAGCTCCCGGACAGGACAGGTGGCCTGGGTTGTGGAGGCCTTCGGCAGTGCCCTCGACTTTCTGCTTTGCTTCTGTGCTGGATCTGGGTGGCTTCAGAACGTTTTGTTCCAGAAGAGGAGGGCCAGCCGACTGATGACGTACATGGCAGCCCCGAGTTGGGAAATTGGTAGGGCGGAGGGTGGGGAGCAGGTGTGTGGGAGTGAGGGAGGGGGGACTCTGCAGTTTCACTGTAAGGTCTCAGTAGGTCAGGGCCATGCACAGCAACCTGTGGGACGATCACCCCACCATGCAAAGCTGCCCCAGCTGGGAGGGAGGAAGATGGCAGGAAGATGGCAAAACTTTCTGCCTCTCCCTGTGTTGCCCTGGCTGATTCATCTTCCCAGGAGGTCGCACCCCAGCTCCAGCTAACTCTGGTGTTATTTCAGACCTCAGGTTGAGGGGCCTGAGAGATAATATAGTGGGTGGGCACTTGTCTTGTACAGGGCCACCCAGGGGTTCAAGCCCTGGCATCATAATTAGTCCGCTGAGCTGGGTATGATCAGGGTCTTATAACTAAGGGGGGAAAAATCTTAGGTGGAGGGAAAACAAACAAAAACCAGCACCTAAGTTCTGGGAGACGCGTGTTTGCTGGATGAGCTGAGGGGCAGGTTTTGCAGGAGTCCTGGGGTTCAGTCCTCAGCACTGCTTGCTCTGCATGGTCCCACAGCCATCTCCAGGAGCCACCCCTGAGCACTAAGCTGAAAGTAACCCCTGAGCACAACTGGTGCGGCCATTGCTCCCAAACTCCCCAAACCAAAATTCGAACCCAAATCTCAGGAGTGCTGGGTGGGAACTTCAGAATGTGGGACCCTGGGCCAGGAGGGAGTTGGTGGGTGGATTTGAGCAGGGTGGTTTTTTTTTTCCTTCCCACATCCAACTGACTCCTTGCCTTTTTTGTTTTTTTCTCTCAAGGATCATCCCTGGCCTATGTGGTGGCCGGATCAAACCCAGGTCAGCCATATGCAAGACAAGAGGTCACCCATATGCAAGACCTGCTGTACTATCTCTCCAGTCACTGTTTATATTTTTTACTTTGCAATGCACAGGGGTTACCCCTGGCTCATGCACTCAGGAATTACTCCTGGACATTCTCAGGGGACCATCTGGGATGCTGGGAATCGAACCTCGGTCGGCGGCATACAAGGCAAACACCCTACCCACTGTACTTGTCCATCGTGGTCCCCTGCCACTCACCTCGGCGCTGGCCCTTCGAGCAGCCCCCTGGGCACCCACGGCATGGCAGAGACGGGTGGCTTGGGGCTGGGGCGGGAGCGTCTGTGAGACTCTGGTGGGAGGGTGGCGTGGGGGTGCCCAGGGCGTGGCCCTCCCTGTCCCAGCCTCTGGCTGCTTTCTCTACCTCTACAGCTGCCTCCGGCCAGGAAACCCTGGGCCACACCTGCTGGGGAGCAATTCAGGGGGGTTGGCAGGCGTGTGTGGAAGGAGAGGCTGGCACAGCCCCGGCGGGAGCAAGGGAAGCAGCCTGCTCTGCTGTCTGTGGGTCTCAGGGGCTCCTGCCAGGTCACACAGTCTCTGTGTGCTGGTGGGTTGCTGGTTGTGAGGGTTGCTGGGCTGGGAGTGATAATGGTGGTGGCAGGGGGCGGGGGACTGATGGTGGGAAGATGGTGCTGGCAGTGGGGGTGAGGATGGAGGTGATGGTGGGGCTGGTGGAGGTGGTGGGATGGTGTGTTGCTGTTGAGGATGGAACTGGTGGTGATGGGGATGGAGATGGAGGTGGGGATGGAGATGGAGGTGAGGATGGAGTTGGTGATGAAGAAGATGCTGGAGGTGGGGATGGAGCTGGAGGTGGTGGGAATGGTCCTCTTTGTGGAAGGGATGGTGGTGGTGGAGATGGGGCCATGGAGAAGGCAATAATGGTGGTGGTGGCCCTGAGCACAGTAAGGATCGACGTGGAGGTAGAGAGACTGAGAATGAGACATGCATAGAGGAAAAGCCCAGGCTCTGGAGTCAGAGATTTCGAACCTGGGAGGAGCCTCTCTGCCCAGCGCCCACACAGCCCCTGCTGGCTCCACTCTCGCCTCAATGGCCCCAGACCAAAAGCTAAGGCGGTGGGGCTGTGGGTTCCACACCTGGACCCTGGGCTTCTGGCATCTCTACAGATGCAGACCGGGACCTGGGCAGGGGTGATGGGCAGATGAAAGAGGGAAGAGTGAAAGGGCTGCGGGGTTGGTGTTAAAGGGACAGCATGCCATGCCTGAAAAGCAGGTCAGATCTGCCTCTCTGGGCCATCCTGGACAAGATCCCAGGCGAGATTCCAGACAAGATCCCAGATGAGATCCCGGATGAGATCGCAGACGAGGTCCTGGAGAGCACCACCCACGTGGGCCTTTGTGAGGTGCAGCATGTGTTGCGGGCACGTGCCCACCGTGGGGGGTCAAGTCTGTGCTGCTGACAAAACAGTCAGGGGCTGGGCACCCCATGTCCGGCCAGTGCCAGCCCTGGCGGGGTATGACCCTGTGGACAGTGCTGAGATGGGTGGACGAACTTGGGGAGAGATACACAAGGTAGGAGGTAGAGAAACGGGTTTGGACCTGGCTAGGTGGCAGCTGGGCTTGAGGGCAGGGCAGGGAGTGGTTCAGCTCTTTCTCTCCTGTCCTGGTCTGGGTGGAAAGCTCAGCTCAGAGCTGGGAGTACAGTTGTCCCCCTTGGCCTGCAACAGGCTAAAGGCTCCAGGGATCCTAAAGCTGGTGACTGCTGGAGGACTTTGTTGGGGGCTCCCTTGGAGAGTGGGAGAAGGGTCCCACCACAGAGATGGCCGCCCTGGACATCTGTGGCAGCGCCATGCGCCTGACACGGGACTAAACCACGGGGAGAGGCTGGCACTCAGGGAAGGGGCAGTGCTCAGAGACACCCACATGGGCTAAGGGGCACCAGCACTGGCCTCAGATGTTTGCTGCGATTTCTAGCGTCAACATGATTTGTCAATAACAGCAACAGGGACAGGAAGATGGTACAGGCATTAGACACTTGCTTTGCATCTGGCTGACCCAGGGTCAGTCACTGTCACCAAGCATGGTTCCCTAAGCACTCTACCAGGAAGCAATCCTGAGCAGCTAGGAATAGCTCTGAGCACTGCGCCAGTCACTATCCACCGCCCCCCCCC